GTAGCCTGCGGTACGGTGGATTTGATGGTGAAGGGTTCCAAGTGCGCAGCAATGGTGGACACCGGGGCAGAGATGAACATTATTCGGGAGGCGGACGCGATCCGATTCGGGCTGGATATAGACCGTTCTGACTGCGGTATTCTGCATGGAGCCAACTGTAGGGCCATGTTTTCCGGGACAGCCTCGAATGTGCTCGTCGAGGTTGGAAAGGTGAAGGTCAGGGCATGCTTCTTCATAATGTCAGACGTGGACCATGGAATCCTCCTGTGGAGGTCATTCCTAAGCAGGACAGAGACCGTGATGTTCAACAAACATGATGGGACGTTGATCCTCCTCTTATGTGATCCTGCCTGCGGGAATTATGAAATAATTACTTGCCGGAATACCGGGCCAAGGAGTATAAGGAACCAGCCCAATCCGGGATCATTCACAATCGAGGAGTCGGAAGGGGAGCGCAGAAGGCTCTGGGCAGAGCCCGAAGTAGGAGAGAGGGTGGAAGCATTTTCCCTCAGCCTGTTAGATGTTGGGAAGGCCATGGACCTGGTGGCCGCGCATGAGATGGCAGATCCGGATGCCATCCAGGCCTTGAGGGAACAAGTTCTGGAATGCCCTGAGGCAGGAAGGTTGGAATTCGTATATCAGCTCCCTGGCAGTGGAGGGAACCCCGCATCAGTGCAAACACAATCCGTGAGTTGGCCTTTTTTAGGGGACGGCTCAAGCAGGGTTCCCAAAGGCGGTACAAGACGGTAGATAAGAAGTGCCGCCCAGTACCCGTCCTCGTTACAGAGGACGAGGAAGCATATTACGAGAGGGAACGAGGGTTGATTCGACAAATGAGGGAAAGTGCTTTAGTAGGGCCTTGTCGTATTAACGAAGGAAACGAGAAGGAGTTGATCATAGGGGAGTCTAATTTCCTGCTGCCTCAGTAGGGAACGCTGATGGTGGAATTAATGAAGAGGAAGCATCGCGCCTACGCTTTTAGTGACGAGGAGCGTGGCAGGCTGGATGTAGATAAGATACCTATGATCCGCATCCACCCCGTGCCACACGAGCCTTGGAACATGAGAAGGGCGCGGTATCCCAATTCTGACGAGGAAAGGAATGTGGTGGATTATCTCGACGGCAAAATACATACTCACGTCGCCGACTATTCAAGTGGACCGTATGCGTCCTCGTGGTTCTGCTTCATTAAGCCTAACGGGACACTGCGGTGGGTGCAGGATTTGCAAAGACTGAATGCAGTGACCGTGCAAGATGCTGGAGGACTGCCGAATGCAGACGCGTTGTGGGAATCCTGTGCTGGAAGGCCTATAATATCGCTTATAGACCTTTACTCAGGATACGATCAGTTCCCAGTCTACCCGCCGGATAGGCCAGTGACGGCTATGCACACGCCGCGAGGATTAGTCCACATGAACGTGGCCCCACAAGGGTGGACCAACGCAGTCGCAATGGTCCGACGGGCCATGATTCGGGCCATGCAGTCAGTCAGCCCCCATATCACACAGCCATACATTGACGATTTGGCAGTGAAGGGGCCGGCGACGAAAGAGAGCGACGAAGTTTCACCATGGGTAAGGCGCTTTGTCTGGAAGCACATTCAGAACCTCGAAAAGGTCCTAAGCCTGCTCGAAGAGCATAACCTCACGGCAAGCGGGGCTAAATCCAGACACTGCATGAGGGAAGCGACTATCTTGGGGATAGTCTGCAATGACAAGGGCCGAAGGCCGGATGTGAAGAAGACGGACAAGATTACTGAGTGGCMAGTTCCGTTCCAYTCAATAACTGATGTCAGGAGCTTCCTTGGTACGTGTGGATTTTGGAGGGCCTTCGTCAAGAACTTTGCCGCTAAGACTGAACACCTGAGGAAGTTAGTCCGTCAGGATCAGGAATGGGTATGGGGTGAGGAACAAGAAGAGGTGGTAGCAAAAATGAAGGAGGAATTTCGAGAAGGAGGGTTGGTGTTAAGAGCACCAGATTATGACGCCACAGAGACGCGACCCTTCATTGTCGAGACGGATGCGGGACCGACAGCCTTAGGGGGAGTTCTGATTCAGGCAGACATGGAAGGGAAGGAAAGACCCTTGCGATTTGAGAGCCGGACTCTCTGTACGACGGAGAGGAACTACTCTCAGTTCAAGAGGGAGACCCTTGYTGTCCTCCATTGTCTGCGAATCTTCCGGAATTATATCTTTGGCAGGAGGTTTATTTTGAGAGTGGATCTGACCGCCCTGGCCTACTCTCTAAGGAATTACGTTCCATCGGATCCGACGATTGCCAGATGGCTGACGTACATCTGGATGTTCAATTTCGAATTGG